ATCTTCTCAAAAGAATCTTGTAGCAATCACCTACTACACAATGGAGTGTATTTATATTTATTTATATCAAATAGCAGGCGTTTTGATAGTTAGCATTAGCTCTTTAGTTGACTTCGAGCTTCACAGAGGGGAAGGAACATCAAAGGGAAAAAGTCGAGAGTGGGGGGTGGGAGGAACAGAAGAGTGTTTCAAAGATATAAAAGAGACAGACACAAAGGTGAAAAAAAGGTGAGGTTAGTACTGCGGAAGTGGTGGAATATGACATAGAGTGGGTTCATGGTAGTTTGAAGTGAGAAGTCAACTGCCGGTTAATAGACTTTTTTGCCGTATGAGTATACGTTGCCCAGGGTGGACCGTGTGTAGGTAAGTCTATTGCGCACCCCTGACTACAAGATATAAGAGACCCGTGACATGTCCAACAAAATCAAGGTGTACAGGAGACCACAGGGCTGCAGTTCTAGGTCAGGGACTAGTCGTCTGCTCACATTTACGGCATCTTAGGGCAATCAATTTGATCTCTTTGATCATGTATAAACACTTTTCTTGATTAACTTCTTTCTGCCTATATCCTGATGATTGATGTGAAATTTTTGAAATAATGACTACATTACCTGGAAGCAATAAAGATGAATCAACAAAAGACAGCTTACCACGATGCTAGTAACTTTCAGATCGCTCCTTTCTTTTGACATAATTAAAATCCGTCTGTTTGTTTTTTTATTCTCCAGCAGCAGCTTAAAGGATCAAAAAATTGACCGTACTTCGATTTGTGTTGTATTGTTACGAGTTCCCCGTTTGAAAATGCCAAAACTCTGTTGCGGTCCGATATTTCAACCTGAAATGATTGTCAAAAAGGATGGTAGATCTCCGTTGAAGTCAGTTGGCAGTATAATTCAAAATAAATTACTGTACTAAAAAATGGTGAAGTGATTACTGATTAAGGGGTGCGCAATAAACTTACCTCCACATGGTGCAAACAGTCCTGCCCAATTTAATATTTTAACGTGCCACACTCTGGGCAACGTATACTCATACGGCAAAAAAATCCATAAACTGGCAGTTGACTTCTGACCTCAAACTACTATGACCCCACTCTATGTCATATTTGACCACTTTCATCGTACTCACCTTACCCCACTCTCGCCCTTTGTATCTCTCTTTTTTACATCTCTAAATCACCCTTCTGTTCCCCTTCTCGACTTTTTGTGGCTTTGAAGTTCCTTCACTCTGTGAAGGCCGAAGTCAACTTAAGGACTCTTATTCATTTGATATGACTTATTGATCAATAAATAAGGCTCGAAGGTGCGGTCGTGAGTAAGGAAACCACCTTGTCAACCGCAAAAACAATTGTCCTTGCTTGGTTTATCAGACCTTCCACTGTATTGTAATGACCAGGCTCCCTACCTGAGAATAAGGATTTCACACTTTAAATCTGTTTCCTCTATGACTTTAATGTAGCTTAGCTAACCCTGGGAGCCTTTGAGAGCATGCTAATAATTCATTTCTACTAATTAACCTCTACTGATAAATAATAAATAGCATAACAATATTGATGATTGCGATGAAGTATATGGATGCTATTATACGCAGTTTAATACCTCAATTAGGGGTCCGCGAAAGACTTACTTCAACGTGGCGTACCCTGGACAACGTTTTCTCATACGGAAAAAGTCAATAAAGAGGCAGTTGACTTTTGACTTAAAACTACCATGATCCCACTCTATGCCATATTTGACTACTTCCACAATACTCGCCTTACCTTTTTCTCTACCTTTGTGTCTGTCACTTTAAAATATGTGAATCACTCTTCCTCCCCCCCCCCCTCGACCTGTGTGACTTTGATGTCAAGGCCGAAGCCGATTAAAGGGCTATTGATAACTATCATTTATTTATTTAAATGGCAGGTGTTATGATAGTTACTGTTAGCCCTTTAGCTGACTTCAGTTTTCACAGAGAGGAAGGAACCTCAAAGTGGAAAAAAAGTCGAGAGGGGGGGGGAACAGAAAAGTGCTTCAAAGACGAAGGTAGAAAAAAGGTGAGGTGAGTACTGTGGAAGTAGTCGAATATGGCATACAGTGGGGTCATGGCAGTTTGAAGTCAGAAGTCAACTCCCCATTGATAGAAATTTTTGCCGTATGAATATACGTTGTCCAGGGTGCACCACGTGGAGGTAAGTCTATTGAAAAACGAATGCCGAGTGATAGAATTTTTGCCGTAAGAAAGTACGTTGCCCAGGGTGCACCACGTGGAGGTAAGTCTATCGTAGTTAACTGCCAGTTAATAGACTTTTTGCCGTATGAATATAACGAAAGCCGAGTGATAGACTTTTTTGCCGTAAGAAAATACGCTGCCCAGGGTGCACCACGTGGAGGTAAGTCTATCGCACACAAACTTCCGGTTAATAGACTTTTTACCGTATGAGTATACGTTTCCCAGGGTGCACCACGTGGAGGTAAGTCTATCGCACACCCACCAGGGTGCACCACGTGGAGGTAAGTCTATCGCACACCCCTTGTCGGGTGCACCACGTGGAGGTAAGTCTATCGCACACCCCACTTCTTTGTTATATAGTAAAGCCAAATCGATTCCAAGAGTAAAGTGCTTTCTTAGTTTACACAAACAGATCTTATTTGAGTTGTCGTTATGTCCACTTTAGATGCAATTAATTAGTTTTATTTTAGAGAGATAAGGGGGAGTTTCAGTTAGTCTACAAATTTTCGTTTTTATAATGCCTTGGTTTTTCCGATTTTTTTAGTTGGGGTAGCTATTGTGGAGATTCTGGGTTATATTAACTTGACGATCAGATAATGGGTTGTCAAGGCTTATTGGTTTCCACAGCTATGGGAAGGTGAAATATGCTAATGTACAATTCCTTTTAATTGTGACCTTGAAACTATTAACACATAAGTCAACTTTATTAACTTATAATTAATAAATCTAGCCTGGTTTGGAGATGTTGCCAATTAATCTTTTTCTTTCCATTGAAATTCAAATAAGTAGTTCCAGTAATTGCCACGTTTTTTCATCATTTCTCGTAATGGATATCCAATTATATTCCACAATTTATTGAATCTTTATTTACACAAATTTAATTAGAGCTGAAGAATAATAGGACATATTGTGTGTTTGCGCATCATTTACAATCTGCATCGTAGCAATGGCAGTGGGAAAACTGGCCTTTGTCTTTTGACAGAGTCCCATTCACCAGGACGTGACCTTCAACTCAAAATCGAGGTTTTGTTTCAACCCCCTCCCCTCCCTCAACTCCCCTCGAAATGTCACTTAGCTGGTGCCGCATGAGGGTGAGAAAAAAACACCAATCACTTCTTTTGTTTCATTTAGCTCCATCGGCCTTTTACGTTGTAAATAGATAGCTTGTCATAAATTTTTCGCTCTTTATTATTACTACTGGTGGGTGAAAAAAACGACAATTTTCCGTGGGAGAAATCTTTGACTATAAGGAAGTTGTCATTCGGGATTAGATAAAATGGGAAATGCTACTGCTTTTTTGTGTTCCGGCAACATTCCCCGAGAAGATTATAGATTATAAAGATTATAGACCTGATGTATTATGACAGGTAACTTGTTGTGAGATGCAACGATAGTGGAGGGATTACCGCGGAAGTCTTGTCATGTATTTTGAGCATGAAAGACTGAATACTTTGCTTGGTCAAACAATTACAAAAAGTTAACGAAGGTGGCGAAAAGGTAAGATGAGTACTGTGAAGTGGTTGAATACGACATACAGTGGGGTGATGGTAGTTTGAAGTGAGAAGTCAACTGTCGATTAATAGACTTTTTTGCCGCATGAGTATACGTTGCCAAGGTTACACCGTGTGGAGGTAAGTCTATCGCACACCCCTCATCTTCAGTATAATGTGCTAATTGTCAATTTTATGCAATTGTACGATTACTACCATGTAGCATCTGTTGACAGAAGACAACACCGTACGATAGGACAATGACAAGATGTTCGCATGAACGTAGAATGAATCGAGGCAACGAAGTGCAATTTACAGGATTTAGGTCAATGTAAAGTTCACTTAAGAATACCAGTGAGATGAAATTAATTTCAAAATGGTGAATCTAAATAAACGGAATGGGGTAATATGTTGGCCATACAACCTTTTTAGTTTGACGCTTCGCATACAACTACTGCTTTCTATTTAATGCACATAATTTCAACAATAAATGAATACTAATACATTATAATGGACTTCTGCTACACTAAGGTGGCTGAAAACACTTAGTCATCAATAACAAAGCCGGACTTTATTTCACCTATTAATTTGACGCACGAAATGTCCTGTGCAAAACAAAAAATTCAAACTACCCGGGCCTAATTTAAGCCTAAGTAAATACAATTAAAGAAGCTTTTGCATGATTGTATAGGACAGCCATCTTAATTACTTTTCCCTCTTTCTTATCTAAAAACTAGTTCAACGTTTCTGTGATTACCTCTAAGCTTAGGGTGTTGCATTCGCAACCACTTAAGTAGTATTGATAGCTAAAATTCTCCTCCTTACTCCAACCAGAAAAAATAAACAAATAGCACAGAACTTCTTTACTGTAATTGGATAAATAATGTGGTCTTTCATGAGTATAGGGCTAAATTAACCTTAGAATAAGATTTCAATGTCATTCAGGGGGAGGGCAGGGCGGAACGAACTTATCGAAATGAGGGAACAATTTTCGTAAGAATTATATCATTCAACCGAAAGTCCTTTGGAGGATCCAAACTTAGAATTGGTTCACCCGCGTCGTTCCAGAAGGGCGATTTAACACGGTCTCCTCGTCTTCTTCTAAAGGCCATGACTCGGAAGGCATTGTTGAGATAGTCCCTCAACTTGCCTTGGGAGAATTCCATTCCAGAAAGGACATTATCGCCCTTTCCAAATTGCATCATGGCTTGTTTCAACACCGCTTTCATAACCATGGGATCAATTGGTCGCTTCTGCCTTGATCCACTATAATTGTGACTCACAAGATAGCGGAGACTGAAAAGGGATTGCAGAAGACACAGACAAAGTCTAGCTGCTGGTCGTTTCTGCTCTCTTCCAACCATATAGACACATTTCTTATAAGCCCAAACAGGGAGTCGCACCTTGGGCTCACCGCCGACAAACATTTCTCGAGGTTCAGTTGGATTCAAGATCACCACAGCACGATCTTTCTCCGTGAAAGTGGCTGAATGTGTCCAGGAAGGTTTAAAACTATTTCCCGAGATTGCAGCAGCTTCTAATTGAAGAATATCATCAAAAGCTGGTTCATGGTTTGATTTTCCATCTTGATGGGATGGTTTATGGAACAGAAAGAGCGGTGACGGGTCTCTAGGAGGGGAGAGGTTGAGACTATTCGGGGAGGTGATGAGATCAGAAGATGACTCTCCAATCGCTGGTTGACTAAACGTAGTTCTAGGTCGTGTCAGTTCACCGTTGAGTTCAACATTCGTTCGTGAATGCGTGGCAAGGTCGAGTGGCTTTTCCTGAAAGGTAGAGAAAAGAAAGGAATTGAGAGTTATTAAGACATTCACCTGCCAAAAGAGGAATGCATGCAGTAGTTGGGAATTTGGACATCGTGAGAGGCGTTCTTGCATGCAAGTTTTCTCCCATTGCGCGCGTACGTATTAATATGCAAGTGGATATAATGGACGGTCAAGACGCTGGCTAATTATTCCCACGACCAACTTTCAAAGAGGGTTAGCTACTGGAGAAGTTGGAGGGTGGGGTGGGGAGAGGAGGGGGGGGGGGTCGAAAAATGGGAGGGGGGGCCGACGATGGCCTTTAGTAGGGTCCAGCATCTTTGTGTGCGAGTGTTGCCCGTCTTATTTATGGTCGAGAATGATGGCTTATTTTCACGTTCTGCGTTATGTGAATTCACTGAAAGGTAACGCACTTGTTTATTTCAGGGCGAGGGAGAAATTCATCAACCCTCATTTGGGACTCTCAGTGCCTGTCTGATTATTTCCCAAATTGTAATTGCACAAGTTCAAGATGTGCCAAACGCCATCCATCAATCTAACGGCCTTCACATTTTCTCTTTATGCTGTCATTTTATAGTCAGATTCATCGTACAAAATATATTATCAATGTATAAAATTTATGCCTTACAAATACTTTTAATTATTATTTCCATCTTAATTGATATTCAAATCATTCCTTCATTTTGAACAACTTATAATAAGTTCGAATTGAGTAGATTTTTAATTAATATATTTCGAATATAATAATACAATTATTTGGGTTGGAATAAATTTTTATTCTTGAATTTGATATTATCTTAATTATGTCTATAATTAAAAACCGAGAATTCTTTTTCATTGCTGAATGCAAATACAAAGTACTTTAACGTATGAATATAAAATTAGCTTTTGTTTTACTAAATTGTTGTACTAAATTGCTAATTATGAATAATCAATAATGATAATGGTAGGAATTTGAACGAAGTTTATGAGATTCTATCTACTACACAGACGTCACGAATCGTTTGTCGCCCGCTAAGAGGCGAAAAGCCTTCATTAACGACAAGTATTGAAGTAATTAAGACCTATAAATATATTAAATCACTAATATATAGCAATCCCAGAATAAAAGAGCACTTCTTTTCAGCCTACCTGCTGTTGTTGTTGGCTGGAAGCTATTTCCATTGGCGTTTGTGGAAGAGCCATACCTTGTGGAAGAGGAAGTTGTTTATTCTCAAGACTGTTCAAGAAGTAAGAGACGTAGAGATCAAGAGGTGTTTGTTGGTTGATTCCTTCCGAGGGTTTTGGCAATTGACTTTCTCCTTCCCCCCTTTGGCAAACATCACACTGACATGGAGCAACAACCCCTTTCGATTTCGATGACATTAGGGCGTATTTGGACTGACTACTGGATCCTCGATCTTTTGAACTCCATCTCCGTTTTCCAGGAGATTTACTAGTTGGAAAACCAAGAGGAAGTTGCGTTAGATGCTGTTGTTGTTGTGGTGGAAGAAAAGGAGAACTCGTTTGAGAATTTGAATTAGCCAGAATCATACTGCTGAGCTGAAGGATAGCACTGGCGAGTTCTTGTTGGCTTTTCTGAACGCAGAAAAGTTGCCATTTAAGCTGAAGTAACTGAGAAGGGAATTGAGGAGTTCCGTCAGCTGGAAGGCCAAGCAGATCAGGATTAGGAAGTGGTGGAATGGCTGGAAGAGAAGGAAGAGATACAGGGGGTGGTGGTGGTTGAAAAGACAGTGCATCGGAAAGAGACGGCAACGGGGGCAAAGGGAGGTCTTTGATAATATTCTCGATTTGCATTCTGGCAATGGAACGTTTTCCTCCGGTATAGTTTGCACCCGATTTTATACCTGCACACTTTTGTCCATACGCGCACGCAGGAAGTGGACAACCAATAGAATGACATGCTTTCTGCACCCAGCACACAACCACCCCTCACCCCCTCCTTACAGGTTTTCGCATACACTGACCCTCAATTAACTAATAATAAGGGAGCATTCGCTTAATTACCTTCAGTGAGATCTACTACCTCTTAATAATTACCAAGTGCCGTTTTTACACCTATCTAATAACAGTATTTAGTTCTGCAAATAAATCGTTTTGTCATGTTTGTTCAACATTACAGTTGCCGTTTTACTAGTTGCCACTGTAGATTCAACCCTTGTCTCAGTATAATTTAATCACCAAAGGTGGAAATCTAGAAGCTCGCGGTAAAATTTTGCAATCGTTTTCTAACTTTTTCGATTTGTATTTTTGCCTTTCGAAGTATATAATATACATTTTATTTACGACATATGACGTATGGTGAAGGCTTATCAACTAACTATTACTCAAAGTAAAATGCGTGTTGAGAATAAAGCCATTGGAAAGAATTCCAAAAGATAGATGATCAACTGTATGTGTGATCTATTGCCAGTTAAGGTAGGATGAGTTTGTTCGAGGAAGATCAGGAATAGATCCAGTTCAAAAGAAGAGAATGTTCCTTTTATCCTAATTTGGCTCAATAGATCGGTTGGCCGTAAGTTGATTGCTCACAACTAAATGTTAGTCGCGTATTCATCTAGTCTAAATAGTTTATCTTTGATGGCTTTCTGTTAGGTTGGGATTAGATATTCTTATTGGCCTTCGCTTCAGCCATAACTGGAAGTTTTAATCAACCTTCACGTCTACCTCAATTGAAATGGATTCGAGATGTTTTAATTTATATTCAAGGTGTTAAAGAGATACCCATTTGCTGCACATGGTGGCCTAGCAATTCTGCATGTGATTATCTCCATTCATTTTTGACTTAAATGAGTGATAATGGTGGTCCCATTTAACAGTAAATGATCAAAACGTAAATTGGTTCAACAGGAGTTCGATATGGGTTTCTTAATTGAAAGAGGCTTCTTTGGCGGCATCGGTGGCGGTGAACATTTCATTTAAATCACACAAACTTACCAAGCGATAGATGGCAGAGGTGTAGATCAAAGTTGGTACGGATCAGTGGGATGTCAGTAGTGGGGGTGACAGTCAATTTAACTATGTCCCAGTGCAATTAACGCGGTGCGAACAGGCGAGTTCTAAGCCAACGTGGCCATTGTCTAATGAGGTAGCAGATGATATCGTGCTTGGGGGCTTGTCGGCGATTTTGTTAGAAGCTAAATTACATAATTAGTCTCTCCCAGGTCTGCCACAATGTGGGGGAGTGGGGTGAGGAGTGAAGTGACTTGACAATTTTTGACAGGCGTAGAATTGATGTGACACCCTTTCGAATGCCCACCGGGTAATTAGATAAAATGCAAAGTTCACTGTCCCGACTGATGAGGGTAATTAGCAAAATAATCACTCCCTACTGCGTAGAAAAAACATGTTTTCAATCGTTTTGACAATTTTGGCAAAAATCAAAAATACTTAATTAAATAAATATTCTTTTACTTTAGATAATAAACCAAGTTATCGTTTTAAAATTGGAATAAATTTATCTAGAAATCAAATTTAAGCTTTTTTCCACTAAACTTTCATAGCAATTTATTCTTAAACACTTTCATTATTCTATCTTGAAGATTCTATTGTTTCAACATTAAAGATGACACCGCAATCAAGTTTCATTTTATCGTTTCCAAAGTAGTAGAAAGTCTAGAGGTTTCCGTTTTCTAAGACCATTTATCTGCTCTGAAATAGTTTTACATCTACTGGTTATTCTGTGATTTTAAGGATGACTTTTGAATTTCTATTTAAAATTTTAAATTGAGTCAACAATTTGAGTAGTTTCCTGTTGAAACGTCTTCTTTGAAGCCACATTTCTTCAAATGAATGTTTAATCAACCAGTTCCATTGCTTTACAAGTTGCATAGACCGACAAGAAAATACTTAAACCTCGATTTTACACAAAAACTAAGGAAAATGAGTTAATATTCGTATCTACTCAAAATATCGCGCTTTCGAGAACAAACGTAGAGTAAGGAAAATGTAAAATAAGGTGTCCTTTCGATTTCTTTCACAACACTTTTTTTCAAAAATTCATGTATTTGTTTTCCAAAAGTATTATGTTCTAAATTAACCTCTTAAAACCATTTTATAGGCACTAATGTTTCTCTCAAAACTTTTGATCTTCCGATTCACCGTTCTTTCCAAAAGCAGCCAAATTCGAATCGGCGAAAGTTCAGAACCTACTTCATCGAAACTGAAGCTATCACTGATCAACAGAAGTTTCAAGATGGAATAACAAAACTAATAAGGCATGTTGATATTATTTATATAAGCAGGTTATGACGGTCATTAAAGGACCCAGACAATTAGCATTCTTAAGGAGAGGAATCAAGGGGGCAATTCTCTTGGCCACTTTTACGAGTGTCGGAATTGAGTGTCATGGCAAGGTGCGCAGAAACCGGAACGTCGCTTAGGGAGTTACTCCTCCTCCTCCTCCTCCTCTCCATTTCTTCTTTTGCGGTCAATTAAGATCAAAGGCAATGCCTACTTCTGTAGCACTTAACTACTTCCAAATGATATCCCTCTCACCCCCAATTATCAACACCGATGCCTATTAGTTAACATCAAATGTGGTGAAGTTAAAAATATGAAAGATTTTCTACAATTATATTAAAAGAAAATAGGCGTGGGCGATAGACGTACCTTCACGTGGTGCAACCTGGGTAACGTATACTCATACGGCGAAAAAGTCTATTAACTGGCAGTTGACTTCTGACTTCAAACTACCATCACCCCACTGTATGTCATGTTCGACTACTTCCTCAGTACTCACCTCACCTTTTCTCTGCTCTTGTGTCTGTCTGTCTGTCTCTTTAACATCTGTAATTCATCATTCTGTCCCCCTCTCGACCTTTTTCAATTTGATGTTCCTTCTCCTCTCTGTGAAACCCGAATTCAACTAAAGGGCTAATGATAACTATCGAAACACCTGCCATTTGAAATAAACAAATATTAAAGGAAAACTACGTAATACTTTTCGGAATGCATAGTGTTTAAATGGAAGTCACTTAAATAAAGAATGTCGGTACTGGTCGATACCGAAAATTGTCACTTTGAGTGAATGATGACACACGTGGTAATTTGCTGTGAAATCTTTCTCACTGGAAGGATAAGCAAGTGTCAAACAGATCATTTTACTTTCGTTTCCACACGATAGATCGAATATCCATTTTGCGAAATCGATTTTGACATGGAAGAGCACTACTCTGACCAGGTTGAGTAGAAGGCAAAAATGAAACTTACGGAATCTTTTAA